CCTAAAATAGTTGTCTGCTTTGGAAATTATACTATTTTGGGACGGATGGAATATATAATCATATTTTTTTATACATATAATATATGTATTTTTTAAAAAAAATCAACATTTAATTTTTTAATGTTGCAATTCATACTTATTTTTATGTAGCTCGAAATATGAGACTGGTAATTGGTTCAAACGTAGTCTTTGCTCATATTTGACGAAGATTGGTGTAAAGGACCTCTGAATTAGAGACTTCACTTTTAAATTATTCTCTTTATACAATTGTACTATTATTTGATAATTGAAAATAATGAAAGATTGATAGTTTAATATGTATTATACATAATGTGTTTCAGTTTTTGCTAGATTATTAATTTGCATTATTATTACATTAAATTTGTATTTGTTTATAAATTAATGTCTAGTTGTTTATTTGAAACTTCTGTAAATTTTGGCTTAAATCTTATTTGTGTTAGGGAAGTTTGATAAAAATAAAAAACCTTCTTTAAATTGCTTTCTTTTTCTTCATTTTTTTTTTAGATATATATATTTGTATGTATAATGAATAGTAAAAAAAAAAATTAAAAAAATGGCTTGAATTAATTTTACAGTTGCTTCAAAGTTTGGCCCCCAACTACAAAATCCTGGCCCCCCGTGTATATAATATATATGAAAGGTTGATGAGATTGGATATAATGTATTAGTAAACATTTCTACGAAGACATGGAAATTAAAACCAAGACTTTTCAAAGGAAATCAGTGAGTCCAGCAATAAGCTCATAGTCATAGGCGTGGTGGAATGATATAGATAGGTGGGTGCGTCTTGTCGATTGCTTAATTTCCATGGATGATGGATTCATGGATTGACCCGGCAGTAGACTTGTTGGAGTCCCCATCATTTACTTCTCTACTGCAACTCCTATCCTTAATTTCCACATACACACACAATCTCTCTCTCTCACTATTTATATATATATATGTATAGACACATACATCAAGTGTTAACTATATCTCCAAACTATCACAGCTTCTTCTCCATGGCTACTAAGAACCATTCTGTTATTGGCTTAGTCCTTGTGGTTGCTCTGCTAGTGGTTAGCCTGAAATCTGCAGGTCTCTCTCACTCTCTCCCTTCCCCCATTTTTGTGGTATCATTGCTCTGAGTTTAGTACTATTGACACCATTTCAGTGGCTTTGCTTTAATGCCAAATTTGTAGGATCATATTTTGGACCTCTTTTTTTTTTTTTTTTTTTAACGAACACTAGATGGCCTTTTGGGTCTTTTTTAGGGTCTGTTTAGTTTAGTTTTCATATAAAGTTTTCTATACGGACTGAACTAAGAATCAGAAAATAGTACAAATATATATTTGGTAGTTAATAGTTTTCTGAAAACCAAGTTAAAAAAAATATCAGTAAAGTAGTCTTTTATAGTTTTATAAATACTGTTTTTTTTGTTTTTTATTTTAGTTTTATACAAGAAAATTTCCACCCGACTTAAGAATTTGAGTATCAGTTGTGCGTAGGTTGGAAAGTTTATGTAAAAGTTTGGGTGGCATGGGTCGGACTTGCATTGCATGTTTTATACCTTAGATTGAGCATGCGTTGACCCTTCCATCACACCAACTTAAACCATTCTAGTTTAGATACAGATTTTAATTTTATCATGCTATATATAGATTTCAAAGATACCTCCAACAAAACACTTGCAACTCTCTGTTTAAAGCATGTTCTAATTGTTTAATTTCACCCCTGTTTAAACATCATGTTCTTTTTTGTTGGAAAATTTCTCAAAACTGAAAAATCAGCAATATTTGTGTGAAAAAAATACAATAAGTTGATGTTTAATGAGTTGAATCCAATGCAGATGCCCAAATAGGAGTTTGTTATGGAATGCTAGGTGATGGACTACCACCCAACCGAGAAGTTGTGGCACTTTACATGCAGAACAACATCCGAAGAATGCGACTCTATGATTCGGACCAAGCTGCTCTTCAAGCACTTGGAGGCTCCAACATTGAGGTCATTTTAGGTGTCCCAAACACCGAGCTTCAAAATCTTGTTTCAAGCCAAGCCAATGCCGATTCATGGGTCCAAAGGAATGTAAAAAGCTATCCTACCGTCATATTCAAGTACATCGCGGTAGGAAATGAAGTCGATCCCAGTTTCCACTGCCATTGACACTACTCTCATTCAAGACTCGTACCCTGCATCCAAAACAATTTTCAAGCCCGATGTTCGATCATTTATTGATCCCATCATTGGGTTCCTAGCGAACAATGGTGCCCCGTTACTTGTTAACTTGTACCCATATTTTGCTTACACAGACAACCCCAGGGACGTTAACCTCGATTATGCTCTTTTTAGAGCACCTTCTGGAGGGTACCCTAATCTTTTTGATGCCCTGTTGGATGCTGTTTATTTTGCACTTGAAAAGGCCGGCGGCGCTTCCCTGAGAATTGTAGTGTCGGAGACCGGTTGGCCTTCAGCTGGTGACGAAGCGGCCACGATTGATAATGCAAGGACTTATAACAACAATTTGATTCAGCATGTCAAGGGAGGCACTCCTAAAAAGCCTGGTGACCCTATAGAGACTTGTGTGTTTGCTATGTTTGATGAGAGTCGAAAGAGCCCAGAATTTGAGAAGCATTGGGGACTTTTTCTTCCAAATAAGCAACCCAAGTACCCAATTAATTTCGAAGACAGCTATTTTCCGACGAAGGTAAGAATGATCTATTTGCAATGTTTGGTGCATTGAGTCACAGTTTTCAAAATAGACAACTATTTTAAAACGGAAAGAGTATTCTCTTTGTAATGTTTGATGCGCCCGCAGGAAAATTTGATATGGGAAAATAGTTTTAGTGTGTGTTCCACTGTATGGAATTGGAGTATTAGAATTAAAATTTAAAACAAGAGGCGATATTCACTAACCACTTTTCTTGGTTTTACCATCTAATTTTAGATGAAATGACAAGTCTAACCCTAACTTTACAGGATCAAAAAAAAAAAAAAGTATCCGAAAAAAAAAATATTATATTAAATAAATTGCCTCTTTTGCTCAGACCATACAAAAAGAAAAGAAAAAGTAACCATCAATTCACAAATAACTAATACTATTATATGTGTGTATGTGTGTGTATATATAGAGAGAGAGAGAGTACCTCAATTGACAAATAACTAATACTAGGGTAATAATCATATATAGAAGGCATATTAGCTCCCTGATAGAGTAAACTATTATAAGCTTATCTAGGATCAATGAGGCTCCATGTTACAGCAATACATTAAGTGCATGTATAAAGCATATACATTGTCATTGCACATATAGAAATTCCATATCGCTTAACATAATTTCTTTGTGATCAATGAAATTACAAGCAGTTTTAATGTCAATGTTACTTGTTTCCAAACACTTAAATTGCCCCAAAACAATCAAGTTGGGCATATATAGTTAAATTGCCCCAAAACAATCGAGTTGGGCATATATAACTGCTTTCATATATCATAAGATAATTCTCTCCCCAAAGAGAGATAGATATATATATATATATATATATATACACACACACACTTATCATGTGGCTATGGAACTTTTATTCTCATTTCGTTGAGCTAAATTAGTACAACCCATCACACTATCACAGCCTTAGTTCATGCATCTATAGTGCCTGTGTGTGTGTGTACGTGTGTGGCATAAGAAGGTACGTCATTCCATCATTGTGACAGTGTACATGCCTATAGAGCCTTCCTCTGAAGGACACCCATGGAGTGTATATAAAAGGCAACCCCCAACAATACGGCATTACACAGCGGCACAACTAAAAAATCAAGCAGAAGTGTTTGAGTGAGCAAGTAGAGGTAGAGATGGAGAGCAAAATGAAGAGCAGAAGTAGTAGTGTAAACTTCTTTCAGATGCCCCTACACTACCCTAGATACACCAAGAAGGACTACCAAGACATGCCGGAGTGGAAGCTTGACAGCCTCCTTGCTGAATATGGCTTATCCACGCATGGGGACTTGGCGTACAAGAGAGAGTTCGCAATGGGTGCCTTCCTCTGGCCCAGCCCCTCCCATTGCACCTCCCAAGATTTTCACTTCTCTTCTCTTGTTAAAAAGAATGTCTAAATAGCTAGCTAGTTTCGGTTTGAGTTTCAAATAATAGTCTCTTCCATCAATAACAATATTTGAGGTTATCTACTTCTATATCTAATATGCATGACATTATATATATATATATATATATTTTCCCGTCAATCCCTCCCCTCCCCTTTTCATCTATTTTTTCATCCCTCCTCCAACCAAACCATAAGGCAAAACCTTGTAATTGCATCATTTCAAGAAATCTTATAGGACCTAATTTTCAAGTTAGGATCCATTTTACGTTACCTTTCTATATTTGTATGAATGAAATTCTTCATTTGCACTCACTTGCATTTTGTGTTAAAAAACAAAAATAAATTACATATGGAAGTCATTGCAATTTTTTTTTTTTTTTTCATATTCATACCATATCTTCTTTCACCTCGATTTCTCTCCTCACTCCTCACTTGTATGTGTTATATGTGTTTACCGAAACATAAAATCTTCGATAAAATCTCCCATTTGTAAAGTCATATTATCTCTCATTCTCACCTTACCAAAAGAATAAATAAATAAATAACTAAAATTTTTATTTATTTACTCACTTCAAAACTTAATATCACTTGCCCAGAGTTTCTCCACTACTCCCATCTTAATGCCAAGAGTTCTTTTGGGGTACCCCTTCTAGCTTACAAATCACACCCCTACCTATATATAGGCCTCTTATCTACACTCTTACAACCTTCTGCATAAGCATCAAAATTATTTACACTCTACAAAACTCTTTACTATTCTAAAATCTTCTTTATGCTCTACACAGTTCTATAACTCTTCAACATTCCAGAATTTTTTAACTCTCTCCAACACTCAACAATCCTCTCCACTCTGCTCATGCCATGCAGAGTCCTCTTCAAGTTCAAACTTGCGGGCCATGCAAAAAACAAATGACCAATTTATTAATCTCCATCTATCATAGAATGATCAAATGAACTTCTAAACACATTCTGAAGAGAGAGGGCAATGCAGAAGGCAAAGGAAAAAAATTCATCCTCAAGGAAAACATTATATAATTTTATCAACCATCAAGTAAAACCAAGAAACACTAATATAAACATGCTACGCACACTAAGTTTTTTGCCCATAACATTGTCATGTTCACTATATCCACCACTGCATGCACCTGACAACGGGATCCATGGATTCCCCTGCAGCCCCAACTGGTGCTAGATCTAGCACAGAAAAGCTGCTACCACTTCTCTTCCTTATCAACAGTTGAATTCTCATCCACTGATGCAGTTGTTTCCAGCAGCTCAGACAACAACTGAGGGCAGTACTCTCCTAAATATTCTGACTGAATAGTGACTGCAAAAATAGCAGAAAACACTTTATGTTTATGCCCACATTAATCGACAAAAGAAAATCTGAAAAAGTAGCAAATTTGCAAAAATATGGAGATCGGAAGGATCACAATAACAAAAGTACTTATCATTCAAGAAATTGCTAAAATCCATCCCAAAAATCTTAAACCATAAGTATTTATCATTCAACATGTTGCTAAAATTGGTCCCAAACATTATGAAGGATGTGGAATTGTTGAGGCATAACTGGGAAAACCAAAATTTGTGATGAATGGAACTGTGATAAACTAAACAAAAAAGAGGCGACTGCTTATACTGAATCAGCATATTCTTCCAGAATAACATAAAATTAAAGAAAATGAAAACCATATATTTACAGTATCAAAGATTTTTCAACCCTTTCCAATTCTCTACCAACCAAACAAGCAGTTAAAACTTCATAATTGATGCTGATAATACAACAGCTATACAAAGATGTCTACTCTATTCTACAAAAGGCAGGCCTAGACTTGTGTTTAATCCGAAGTCAAACCATGTCAAATTTACAATCTGTAAAAAACCTAATTTCACAACTGTGACAATTCTAGTCATAATATGATGGCAAAACATTAAAATCAAATTTTAGATATTATCCGGAAGAAACTCCAATATATCAAACTCCATTTAAATAACCATACTCATCCCAAACTCTTAACTACATAAAACCCCAGGTTTCTCTTTGAGGCTTGTAGCAAGGGATGTCAACAGGATGCGTATGGAATGGAGTGCTCCTATTTTAGTAATCCGTTCCATGAAGAAAAACAAATTACCAAACCCGTCTCGCTTTGAAGTGGGAAGGGCTCAAAGTGCCCCGTTATGTATAGTTTAAATAAATACAAACAATCTTAACCATATTTAAGACAGAATTTTTTAGAAAAAAAAAATTATAATAAAATATCTGCTTATATATATTCTTAAAACTAAACAAGGCAAGTTTGGAGTAAAACAAAATTTGACTCTCATTCTCAAACATGCTCCTAACCCGAGATTAAATGAGGAAATAAATAAATAAAACATTTCCATTAGGAGCGGGGCGGGCGGTCCCATCGGGGGCGGGTCAAATTGACATCCCTACGTATAGCCATCGTCAACTACCACATACAAGAAAGCCTTATACCAGAAGGTTAATTATACATTTGACTCAGACAATTTTGAAGCAGTTATTAATGAGCCTATCTTTTCTGTTATGGCTAATATTGCATAATTTAAAGGCTTCTACTCTTGTTTAATGTAAAAATGCATATTAAAGTCTATGTTCATCTGCTTGATGCAGACCATAAGAAGATATCATGCAAAAGCAAATTGAAATAAGAGAGAGATTTGAACTTGGGACCTCATAGATTTAAGTTTTAGGTGACATGTGCATCACATGTTACTTATTAGTTGAACTTTAAAAAATGTATATATTTTTTGCTTACTAACATTAATTAAGCAAAAGAAGGGAAATAAGCCTGCTGGGCATAAATGTACAAACAGCATAACATAAGCCAATTAGGATACAACAGATCCATAAGTATGAAAAGCTAGTTATCTCTTAACAGGTATAGTATAAGGAGGAGTTTCAAGCTAGAAAAGTAAATGTTTTAGTTTAGCCAACTCAAAGAATTTAAATGAGATGTTCTATAACGGAGATCACTCAGAAATTGTTTATTAAATTTATGGCTTAAGCAACACCAAAATTAATACTAATTATTATCCAGAGTGATGGGTTTTTTTTTGGTTATGATAAAATCAATCCATAGGCAAAGCAAACAATAGCCATGAACCAGAAAACATGAACACTAAAATTAAGTAAATGTAAATGCCTATTACTTCTCAAATGCCATAAGTAAATGTAATTTCTGAATTTTCCAATCACTTCTCAAATTAGACAAGAATATGACCACAGTGCAAGGACTTTCTAAACATGAAAAGTTGCTTCAATTTTATTATAGCAAGAATTTACAATTTAACAAAGTAGACTTGGAACAATTTGGACATCTCTGATGTTCTAGGTATGCACGTGGAAGCATCAAGAGCACTTCTGCATATTACAAAGATAAAACACTAAAATTCACATTACCTGAAGCATTGCACTGTTCCAATTCAACAGACTAGATGAACCTTCCAAGTTTATTGCTGCAAATTTCACACAGATGGCTTTGAGATGTGGACACTGGTGTTGCTCAGCTAGGGAAAGTAGCGTTGTCACTATATCTGCATTGACTTCTTCGCACAATTTTGCTTCACATAATTCTTTCAGCTGATCTAAACAGAATCGGTCAGCGGCAGCCAACAGATGCTGCACCATAATTGTAGATGTGCACATAGAAGCTGATCCCATAATTTCATGTATCTCAGGAAGCTTATCTGAGTATATAAACATGAGTAGAGCCTGCAAAACAGATGAAATAGGCCATTTAAGTCATCTGAGCCTGCTAGTACATAACTAAAAGACATTGGAAGAAATCATATTCACCAATGATACAAGCAATACATATAGGATTTCAGGTGAGACAGCCCAACTAGCCAACATAACTTCACCTCTAGGACCATGAAAACAAGCTAATGCCAAAACAGACAGTGCAGTACGTAGTATCCAGTTGCTTAAACAAGTGCTTACTAGTTTCCATTATTATTATTATTACGTACAATTATTTGCTTTAATTCATGAACCGGCACTTCCTTATGCAGTCAGCTCCTGAAATTACATGAAAAACACTGTTTTTACATTCAATAACACTGACACATAAATTCATCTAAAAAACTAGAATTTGGCCTGTACCTGTTCATATATATTGCTAAATATGCCAGCCTCCAGATTCCAAAATAATCCAATATATGAACAGATTTTTAAAACTACATAACATATAGTACAATGACAAATCTAGAGCGTTGTATTACCACAGAATACCTGTGCAATTAAGAATATCATGAAAAGGAACACAATCCCAAATCACAGTTTTATACAAACATAGGACACTAAGTAGAACTTCCTCTGAACTAATTTAAAACATTAATGAGAATAACAATAACAGCTACAACGACAATTATAAACATATCAAGACGTGTGCCTGTGTTCTCTATCTTTTCTTTTTCTTCAAAAGGTGAATAATGACAAATGATTCAAAGAACAGAACCACATTACCTTGAAGATAGAGGGTTCAATATCCTCCAATACTACTTTATCCACGTTAGAATATCCAATAAATCCATTAAACAGGTCTCTAAATACAGTAGACCGAGCAGCAAGCATCAATTTATTAGCTTTGAAAGTCTCATCACCAATCTGAAAAATTATGTCATAACCAATTTCAGATTCCTGCAAGTCCCCAAGACTCAGGCCCATGTCTGATGGTGGTACAGAAATGCTATACTGTTTAGGTCCGTCAACATGAGTTTTGAGGACTCCCACAGTGCAATGAATGGCAATGCAATCGTCTTTTATGTAATCAGAAGTTTCTAAATTTGCTCTGGAGAAGAAACGGTTGTAACCCCTGAAATTGATGTAATGACATTACAGTGTATTAGTATATGGATTTTTTTTCTAATATAAAAAGGATTAAAATGCACTAAAATAGTCAATACTAAACATGTTCGTGCATTTTAAAAAAATTTAGCACGGGCTTACATATTGTTATCGTATTATATGTGTAAAAAAGATCAAGGCAAAAGAAGCAGTCAAATCATATTCAGCATAACTGATGAAGTTCAATAACATATACAAATTCACCCTAATATTGAGCATGGTGAGTAAGTATTATGTTGAATATAGTCTCAAAATATTTCCAAAACCAAACAAAAACTTGCTCCAACTTATTGCCGACCAGTTAAAGTGGGAGATGTCAGTCTCTACGAATATAATACAAAATCGCTAAATCATCAAAAAAATATTATTAATGCAAAGAAGCAAACTGAGACCAGTTAAAATGGGAGATGTCAGTCTCTACGAATATAATACAAAAACGCTAAATCATCAAAAAAAAGATTATTACTGCAAAGACGCGAACTGAAAGCATATTGTATGAGTACACAATTATTCCTTTTCATAATAATGAGACACAAGCACTTAGCTCATTAAACCCATTCCTCAAATCCTTTCAAAAGTCAAACAAATCTATCCATTTTGTTAAAACTTGAATCTAGATGTAAACCTAAATCCATTCGTTTGAAATCCTTCAATCCAAATAGATTATAAGATTCATCTCTTAAAGTAAACCTCTTTATTTCTACTGAATGGCATTTGCAAGAGAGATCCAAATCCTCTCTAGTCACTACTTCCCCGTTCCCTGCTGTTGGTGAATTTCACTGAATTTTTCTACTATTCATTTACAGGTGAAAGTCAACCATTATAGTAACGAAATTCACCATTCATAGCAGTGAAATTCACCAACACCGGGACCGCAGTAATTTATTTACACATATATATTGACAAACGAACACATGGAATAATTTATTTACAAGACCTAATCCAACACAAACGAACATTAATTATATATATATACACACATATATATTGACAGAACATTAATTACATATAGATACCTACACAAACACGCATACTCATATATATCATCCATATGGATGTATATGTTTGTGCATACATACCACATACTGCGTCTGTGCTTGAGAATATAAGGACCCTTGTCCTGACTATTAACTTTGTGATTTCCTTTCCCACTCTGATCAAACAATGTGAGCTCAAACAGGGCCTCCACATTCGTCGCTTCGCTCTCCAACCTGACGTACATCGAAACGTACATGGAATGCTCCGGTTTCTTCCCATCGGGATAGAACAGAACGTTCCAATCATAGCCTCCCGCCGAAAAACTATCGCTCGATATGTAATTGCCCGGACCCATTCCCTTCAACGACGAATACCCCCTTATCGTGAAATTCTGCGACCCACTCAAAGTCTCGGTTCTCGATTCTGAAGACGAATCCTTGTAATCGTGAACAATCATGATTTCGTGAAATTGATCGATCGGAGTTGAATCAGTGAGGAGAATTAATATGTGTGTGTATGGAAACTCTAGTATGTGAATTGGAAGTTGGATTGAATGGTTGGGGTTTATAAGTGAAGAAAAAGGGGTAAACCTAGTCCGAGGAAATTTGAAGGGGAAAGGAAGGAAAGGAAGTGTGTGGAAAGGGACGGAAAGCAAGTGTGTGGAAACTGATGATTGGTGATTGGTTGTCTCACGATGTTTGTCTAGTCCTACTCCACTAATGACTTAAATGATTAGGGGATGAGGCGATAATTAGGCATCAATTTTAATTCTATCTGTTCTCAGCCAATTAAGTAAATTCGTCGTGGATCCATTATTCCACCAATTAAATCGAATCCGATCAAATTGAATTGAATCCGCGAATTAGATTTTATTTAAATTATTTATTATTATTATTTTTTTATAATTAATATTATTTATTATTTATTTGTCTTTTAACTATAACCCAATAAATAAAATTTTATTTTATTTATATTAATTCGTATATTTAAATAATTATTAATGAATATATCTTTAGAATTCATTAAATTATCATTAACTAATATATTATTTGAAAATATATATATTTTTCACGGATCGAATCGAATTTTTAACAGTTCAATCTGTGATTCATCTATAACTTTTGGATTCAGTTTTTTTAAATCCGTCACCAATCCGTGGGTATGGCAATCACATCCGATTCACAGGGATCGAATTGGATTCGCAATGCGAATCGGATCGGATTTACGGATTATTTGTCTACTCTTACTAATGAGAAGGTTGAGGAAATGAGAGGATTAAGGAGGGATAAATCGGAGAGAGATGGAATAACTTTTTCCTGTTTGATTGGAGTGAAGAGAAGAGAGGGAGGAAGTAACATCCCCCTTTGTGTTTTTTTATCAGCTCAAAACGGACTTGCATTGCAAATAAGTGGTCTTGATAAATTGTTATCTGTAAAAAAAAAATTTGCACAGCTTGTTGTCAAGAGATCTCAATGGATTGTATAATTTGAAATACATATTTAATTAGGGTCTATTGATAAATATAATATAAGTTTTTTATTTTCTTTCATTTTAACCAAACAAATATATATATATATTTGTCACAACATCTATCAATTTTAATATTCATTCTATCTAACTAAACAAAAAGTGAGAGAGACACCTTTCTTCCCTAGGACGCCTTATTCATCTTTTTCTCTTCCTTCCATTCAATTTTTTCATCCGAAAACTAAGTCTTTTTGTGTTTTTTTTTTTCCTTTTTCTAAGAGAATTCTTTTGCATTTGAAATATTACTAATCCAACTCAATTTGTGACGTGATTAGTAAGATTGGTTAATCTTCCGCTTATGAAGTGTAGCTGTCCAGATTATGGAGTTAGAGGTAAGATTGAAATAAATTGAGAATTTTTTTTTTTTTTTTGAGTTGTTATCAGAATTACATAAGATACATAACGTTTGATTACCTTAGACAAACAATTTAAGTTTAAACTCGATTTTAAAACTAATTTACTAATTTAGTACGTGAACCTATATTCAACACATGTAAATTAATGTGAAATCATTGTAAATTAGTATGTCTTCAAGAGCATGGGCCAATCAGCTCAGTCCAACTCATTTGCAATTTAAATTGAAAAAAGCTCATTTGCCATACTTGAAGGTATTTTAAGTTGCTCTTTGAAAAACCTATATCCAGTCCCGTAAAACCTCTTTACATGAATGGCTGCTTAGGAATGAGAAAAGCTATACAGTGGACTTAATAAAAAAGGCAAAACTTGCCTATTGAGTACGTCATTCCTACTCACCACGTAAACATAAACTGCCATAAAAAAATCAAGAAAGTGATAAATAAGAAAATCAGAGAAGATCACTAAATTTATTCTAAAAAAAGTTATTATCCTTATTTATCACTTTCTTGATTTTGTAATTAGAGATTATTTTTGCATTGTGATTACACCACATCAGCGATCACAAGTGAGTAGGCAAATCTTATCCAAAAATAGAAACAGTTAATATGCAACTTCTTTCAGTCAGGAACACTCATAAATCATAGAAATGTATTCTGACATGTAAGACAATTGTTAATAACCAGGAGGAAACATATTATAATAGTTCATTGATAATTACTTACAAACAAAACATCCAAACTTCCTTGTCTAAAAAGGAAAGCTAAAACACAGGCATTTGAAATCCCAGCAATGCAATTGCATTAATATACACCGCTTTTTTTTTTTTTTTCTTCCAAACTTGTAAGATTTCAAAACCAACTGGGCAAAGTACTAGACCCTCACCTTTCCAATTGCATTAATATACACCGCTTCTTTTTTTTTTTTTTTTTTTCCTTCCAAACTTGTAAGGTTTCAAAACCAACTGGGCAAAGTACTAGACCCTCACCTTTCCAAATAGAACTACGTACAGGTCGTTCAGGTAGAAAAACTCGTTAGAGCCTTCTATCTGTTAGACCTGGGTCTCCACGATTGCTGGCCTTGATTGTAAAATGTCTGCGCAGGTCTCTGCGTCCTCGTCGTCGTATTGGTGGGACGACTATCTAGCCTCATGCTCTGAAACTGCTGTTGAACTTGTGACGGTGAGTGTACGTTCCTCTGCACCTGTGGACGAGTCCTGTTGTAGTCGTTGGGGTTTATAGATGGCGTTCTTGTGAAAACAGAAGACAATATGCGCGGCCTGACTAAAGTGGCAATGAGAGAACCGTGATTCTGATTAGCTGAGGTAAGCATACGGTGTGTTGTCTGAAATGCTTCTGATATCCTTGTCATTTGCCCACTGCTAACACTCCTCGCGGTATTAAGTGGCTGCTCAAATGGATCCTCAATCTAACAAGACATTACTAAAAATATCAGCTCAACTAGTTGAGGGGAAAGGGAAAAAAATAAATTAAAAGAAATAGTAGTGGCAGTTGTGGTGGTTAAGAGAGATTACAAATAGAGCGAAAGTTTTGGGCATCCATCTCATATTACTATCTATGTCTTCCCATTGTCCAGTATATGTGCAGATACCATGCTCCGATGCTCTCATACTAGAGAACTGCAAAAGATGTAAAATAATAATAAATTAAATTATTATACAGACTAGCAAACAATAGAAAGTTCTTTTTTGGTCTTCCCTATAATAGAAATTTTATCCCATTATACATGTATTTCCTTTACCCAGCTCTGTCATCTTCATCCATACAAGAAAAAGCACATCCATTGGCATTAACATAAACATCATCACCACAAAAAGCTTAGGCCAAGTAGTATCACCTCTACAGTAATTAATGAGTTTAATTATAGCTGTTGTGATTAGTTTTTCAACCAATCAAAACAGCAACTGTGCAGACACAGTCGCTAGCCGTAGCACTACTCATCAACAACGGATATGCTGAGTCTTGGATACACTAAATATTATTTGAAAAAACATCATCCAAGATATATTTGATAAAGCACTTTGTCAACATAACATAATAAAATATTACTAGTACAAAAAGGGTCTCATGCTTCACGCTTGATAGTCCAAACACATCTAAGTTCTATAAATCATGACAAAATTAATTACCTGTGAAAGGAATGAAATGAAAAGCTCAGACAAAGAACTCCGATTAACAATTCTGGACCTGTCTTCTTTAAACCTAAATATGTTTGCAGCACATGTTTCTTCTATATGTCTCTCTGCATCAGCCCTCACACCTGAAAAGAGAATGTTTAATGCACATTCAACCAGTAACATTATTCAATGTTATTCAGTGTTTCAGATTAAAGGAAACATTATGTGCATTTTCGAATTTAGATAGCCTTTTATTCTATTAAATATAGTCAATGTTTATGACGCACACTAACATTATGGACTTGCAGGGTAATTCTATGTCCAGACATTTCCATTAAAATTGTTGTTTAACGTCGTTTTATTGAATTTAAAATATTTTTTTGGAGGTATACTGGGATTTGGATAGCTTCCCTAATATCAGATCTCATCAAGGTTTACAAAGTATTACCAAAACCATGTTACAGATATCTCTAATAAAACTTTAGGGTGTGGGAAAATTACTTCGGGATTTTTTCGGGTCTTCCCTAACGTCTTCATATAGCAAAACATGTGACATTCGTACTCCACTTATTTGCCCTTCAAAAGTGGAGCATTAGAATACTTTTTTAGATAACTGTGAAATTTGAGAGCTTTGGAAGGTACATTATGTCATTTTTGAGAAAGCTTTTGAAGGACAATTATATCATATCTTTTCTTTGTTTCTTCCTTGGGGGTAAAAAAAGTGCAGTACAAGAGTATAAAAGTGGCATAAGAATTATTTCCCTTTACCAAATCCTATTTTCATTTTGCTTTTCCCAATTGTCAAGCCACAAACGTGTAGCAACGTGGAAATAATTCTCTCAGATCAGTTTAAATTTCCAAAACTATTCCAAGATTTGAGGGTCACCTTGATGAAAAGAACCCTGAGCTCCTAGGATTTGGAAATCCAGCCTCAAACACAGTACAAAACTAGCAAACCACGTTTTCCAATAACTAAATAACAAAATCCAAAGCTAGAGAGGACGGACTTGGACTCTAGAATACACATCAACAAATTTTCTAGGAGCCCCTCCTTATACTAACAGAGGAATGGAAAAAAAAAAAGAAAAAAAAAATCCTTGGACAATTTGATAAGAATTAATTTTATTATTTTTTATAAAATTATTTTGAGGTTTTGATAAATTTAAAATACACTTTTCTGACTTGATAAATAAAAGGTCATGAATACCTGTAAGGCCATCAACCAAGTTTCCAGGATAGATTTCCCTAAGAGGAGGTAAAATTGCAGGTACACAAGTCTGCAAGAAAAGAGGATAATAAACCCAAAATTAAAATAGTGAAGTTCTGGATGCTCCAATTCAGAATTCAAGTATATTTGTACACCCAAGGAAGAAACTATAGTAACAATGTGTATATTTGTACAGACGGAAAACTCTAGAATCACCGTGAAAGAAGACAACCAACAAGACAATATGATTTGGATAGAACAGCTGACCATGTTCATTTGAACATAAAAACACATGAGGGAGAAGTCCCCAAAAAGTTTAAAAATCATTACTTTCACTTATCAAAAAAAAAAAAAAATCATTACTTTCAGCCAGTGAGTCCCTTTCAACCATCTGAGAAGCATAATTTATTCCATCGGACGTATAAAAATGAATCCACCTAATTACTTGCAAATTTTAAAACTTCTGCCAAGAATGGATCCCACCACTAGATACATTTCAGCAGATGACACACCAAATGAAGACTCCCAACTATCCCTAAATTGAAGTACAACAAAACCAATAGCAGTGATACTAATAATTAATAATCACCTGAAAATGGAAGATAACAAGCAAACTAAGGGAGTAGGAATTTAGAGTTCCAAACTTCGGATCATTAATATTATGTGCTTTGGCCCATTCCTTGACCTGCGAGGAAGAATTGATGCATCAGAATAGGCAAAACTTTCACCAAAGTGGCATGTAGTGTTACCCATAATTGCATATAGTGTGTTGCATTAATAACGTGCCAGTAAAACCATATCACGAAAGCGTCCATCGATCAAATTGATCCAATATAATAGTTTGGACTTAATCTGGCCATTCAGATTGTTGATTGAGATATCACAAGAGATATTCTGGTAGCTCTCTAACTTTAAAATGGGAACCCTTGCATTGGGAACAAATTGCAATTTACGCCATCCACCTGCAATCAATGTCATCATTAGATAAAATGTGTGTGTATATATATATATATATATAAAAGGAGAGCAATGGAAAGAAGAATCACACTTCTGTTGTTGAACAATTCATAAAACCTCATCTATGTAAAAAATATATACATTATTTTAGAATATAAAATGAGATACAAAATACAGACTCAAAAAACACTATGCTTCTTTCTGCTAATGATATCGCCCTTTACTTACTACCACGAAGTAATACAATTTCCATAAAAAAAAAAAATTTAAATAAATAAATAAACCTATAAGATAATGCTCACAAGGGTTATTCTGCATCATCAAGGGATTCTACCATTCTATTTTGTTATTTGCAGCCTTCAAAATGCAAGTTCAAATTTTTGGATGGAGTCAACACACAAGGAATCATCAAGAAAAGCTAAATGAAAACTATAAATGAACATAATTGTTTGAATGCGAAAAATACACTCGTGTCTTTTAAAATGCAAATCACGGTGGAATGATCTGTATGTCTAAGAACAACTAAGCAGCCTTACAGATACTTATGTCATAAAATGTGAAAAACAAACAATTGATATCTAATTAATGTGTTCTAAGGTTCCGATCTGTACATATGCTAAATAATGCATGCAGATTAGTGGGAGTCAATGCAATAGCCAGACAAAAAGCACAAAATGATTAAAATTGCGTACTTTTGAATCAAGCTTCACAAGCTTTATATCATTGCAAGACTATTCAATAGAGTTTGTCCCAACCATCATCCATTCTTCTTGGCCATTACTAGGTCCATGCAGTTTGTGTGGTCTGGAACATGGTCTGGAGCATGGTTCCAATCTTTTTATCAATATGAATAATGGTTCAGATTACAAAAGTTGACTTCTGGATATGAACATGTTTGATTTCAGAAATGCCCATCTTATACAACAGGCAGTTTAGATTAAGTTCAAACCAGGTAGCCACAGTAGATTCAATAGCACAAGCCCAGCCTTGATTCAGCTTGGTTATCTTCAAACCATTTCTATCAGCGGAGTAATTTACTGCGTATAAGGTAACTGCTATTAAAATATACAATTTTGCTTATTTATAATGAAAATGATTTGTTTATCAAAAATTTCTAATCCTCTAAGAGATGATTTGTTCCTAAAATGAGCCTTATAGAGTTGGACCTCAGTCCTTAAACACAGGTTGAGCTAAGGAATAGCTCGGATGGTCTTATGCAGCCCATAACATGGAACAACCTTGATTTTGTGGCCCCAAAAACCAGTGGAGAGTTTGAGTTTGACTTAAGTAATTTGGTTAATATGGATGAGCATGTTTGGTTAAAAATTGCCTCACTAGCTTAAGCATCCTCACTCATACTTTTTAGCACTATATAACTCCAATTTTTAACTAAATTTAATAGACCAGAATAATGTACCATTATATTCTGCCTACAAATGCAACCACCCTCGGTTGTTAGAAAAGACATTGCTACAACATAGCTAACTCATTCTTCAATAAGCTGTAGGCATGCTGTCGGAACCCACAGTTCCTCCAAGCTCTAACTGCTTGGTGCTTGAATGGACAACTGACACATAAGGATGTATTAAGTTAAATGATTTGTGCAGCAGAGGCAGGCAATCATAAGAACACAATAATTTAAATGGGTCTATTTGAAGAAACCTCTCTGTTTTAGTGGTAGTATTCTTCTCATTTGTGAATTAGTGATTCCCGGGTAAAAGGACTCGATAGTTGCTACTTATAGGCAAACTACTTAAACAAGACTATCTAAAATGCTCACTATCTTTTCAGTTTTTCTTCTTTTCTTTCTTTTTCTTTTTCTATTTTAAATATGTTCCAGAATGGTTTTCAGTCCCTTTTGTATAGTTTTCATTTTCCATCGAATTATAAGTTTCCTTGTAGATCTCTCTGCATTTAGTGTTCGGGAATCCTATTGTTCCTTTTCTTATATTCCGAAGGACTGCACTTTTTTCTTACACTGCAGTAATTTTCCTTCAAAAGAACAAATAAAGAAAGCAACAACCACGGTTAAAGGAATAAAGATCAAAAGATCGTCATAATAGTGAAAATGGTAAAATGGAATGCATTGCAAATATTAATTTCATATAGCAGTTGTGCAACAAGAAAAGACAAGGAAAAAAAATGGAACTTCAGGAGTTCGTGCTTGAAATACATATAATAGATATGATTCAGAGCAATGCATTAAAAGAGGAAGTAAAAATAAGTAAAGATATCAAAATTACCTTTCCTTCTCAAAGCTTTGAGTACCTCCCCAAGTAAAGTCAGCTTGCGCCTTTTTCCAGCACATGGAATATATGAATTATTAGGTAATTCTATAGATAAATCCAGATCTCCCCATCGTGTGAAGAGAACAGACACAAATGAACCAAATGGCTCCACAGTTGCACCTGCTTGCACCATTCAAATCATAAATCTATATTGTTTAGCATAACTCTATTAACCAATGAAAACAACTCTTCCATATAAGTAAAAAAATAGGAAGTCCTACCGCAGGGGTTGGCGGGGTGTCATTGACAGAATTTAGGGCAATATTAAGCTGAATATGTTAATCCCAAGAAACTATAACAAACTCAGGTACAAGCGTCTGCTTAACAACTTTTCTCCAAAGTTGCATGCCTCTTCGGGTTCCAAAATTGAAATAAGAAAAAAGGAGGAAGAAAAAGTTGGAAGAGTTTCTCTGTTAGCATCTGGTGCCAACAAAAAAAAAAAAAAAAAACTTTACTGTTTTTCTTCTAGTTTCTACCACAATTTTTAATTCCATATTCTCTTGAAATAAAAGTTTCCTCGTGGCTTTTTCCCTCTCTTCAAAATATATTGTTTGCATTGTTAGTTCTCCACTTCTCCATTTGCCTTACCGACTGCATATCCTATCTGTAGCGACTATTTTTCTCCTCATAGACCTTCCCCCATTCACACCTCCAACAAATTCATCTCACAAATTCACAATAAAATATGTAGGGTGTGTGTTTGAATTGTGTGTATTGAGATTTAAATTACCTTTTCTTTTTTCTTTTTTACCATGGAAAGAAACTCACACCCTTGTTTTGTCCCTAAATTTGTTTCAGTATTGAAAAGAGTGCCCTAGAGTCATGAAAAGTCTTGTAATTGTTCAAGATATTTAATAGTGATGCTGGACAAGTAGTGTGGCCAATACCAAACTAATGTGGGACCAGAAAGAAAGCAAGGGGTGAAAAGACAAAAGATGAGATGAGGCTAGAAGAAAGGTGAGAAGACAAACATAGAGGCTAACTTGTTTGATTACACAATAGCCTTTATATAGGCAAAACATAAAGGCTGTGTAAAAATGCCTTTATAAAGGCCTTTATGTTTGGTGGACAACAATATAAAGATTACCATTCCGCCCATATTGTGGTTTGGTGGATGCATATAGCACTCTAATCTTTTCTATATGCATCCACCAAACCACACAGTTGTGAAATGCTCTGTGAGATGTAACCATTCCTTGAGTATTAACTAGTAATACAAATCTGTTGCCAATAAAAAAGAAAAGAATAAAAATAATAAGCCCCTTACCAACCAAAGTTCCTTAAGTGAGCTGGTCTAAGGGTGACTAAGCAGGTGAGGACCACTATAACAAAAAGTAAGAGACACAAGCCTATGAGTGTTAGCATGAGTATCTGAAACTCAGTGCCATGAGGTTTGGCTAGACTATTGGTGAAAGCTCCAGGCCCATGACAAAAAGTTAATCTGTTGTTACAAACATGGTGACATGTGAGAAAATTAACGCATATTTTCCTGACGAAATGAAGTGTAATAAGAAACATAGGAAACTGATAAGAAGTCTTTTTTGCTCCATTCCCACATAAAAATATGTTATATCATACACAACTCTTACAAGGGTTTGTCCTTCTTAACTCGTAGTTCTTCTCACATCACAATAGACAAACATGGTGACATGTGAGAAAATTAACGCATATTTTCCTGATGAAATGAAGTGTAATAAGAAACATAGGAAATTGATAAGAAGTCTTTTTTGCTCCATTCCCACATAAAAATATGTTATATCATACACAACTCTTATAAGGGTTTGTCCTTCTTAACTCGTTGTTTCACATCACAATAGACAAATAAAGAAATCCAGCCACCCCCCTCCCCCCCCCCCCCCCCCCCCCCCCCAACCCCCCCCACACACACACACACAAAATATTCAGTTGGCATACCAGCTATAAATCTGTACAATTGAAGTGAAAGCACAAAACGAGTAACACCAAACAGTAGTAAATTACCTCTTAGACTTTCCACGGATTGAACAACAGCTTGAAGCTCATTAATAATTTCGTATCGTGTCGACCAATCCTCCGGTAATGGATTAATCACATGAAGAATATCTCTTAGAGCAAGTTCCAATGTACTATTGACACTCATATTCGAGAAATAACATTGAATCAGGCTAATGCTGTTAAACATGTCAGAAAGTCAGATGCAGGAATGCCGATAGGAAATATTAGAGAAGGAGATAACAAATGACAGAAATTAATGAAGTTGCACCTAGCAAAAATAATTTCCTATTCCAGAAAATTGGATGTGGTATGAAATACAGTATTGGAACAATTAATGAAATTTAAGCCTCAAAAGACTTTCAGAAAGAAGCAATAACATGAAAGTTGAGACCAACTCACATATTTGAAGATAATACATCAAAAAATAACTTCCTTCTAGCCAATGTATAGCAAGAAATCGACTTTGTTATAAATTATAATATTGCTTAGAAATCTAGAATCAATTGGTTATGAAACATAATTTTGTTCAAAATTTGCCAAGTTTGAAGGTGTGGATATAAAATAGAACATCTTTACTTGACAACAAGAAGGAACAAGACAAAGCAATTATCACTTTCTTTTGCAAGTGTAAACTTGAAAACCTACAGAACAATTTCAGGCATTTATAAAGAACAAGCGAGCCACAGAAAAAGGAGAATTCAGTGATAATATGCTATTTTGATAACACAATTCATCACAATATTGGATGCATTTTGAGATCATATTACAAATATAAGCAGTGATGATACTTTCTTGTGTTTACAGTCTTCTATGTGTACATATGAAATTTCACCTTCAAGTAGTATGAGGTAGACTATCTAAAAATTATATTTATTAAGTAATTAGGGCTATACCAGGAGAAAAAATAGGGACAAGTTCCTAAGCCGAGTCAGCCGACTCAACCAAAACCGTTAGATGCTACGAAGCACAAATACGGATACCGGATACGAATACGACACGATACGGGTATGACTATATGGCAAATCTAAAAAAAAATAGGATACGGGTACAGCAATACAGCAATAAAAAATTAATTAAATTTTATTCATATATATATATATATATATATATATATATATATATATATATTAATTTTTTATCAATTTTTTAAAAATATTCTAAATCTAAATGCAATCATTAATATAACATAGAAGTTCGTTTCACAACACAAAAAACAAGCATTCCTAGTCATCACTTAATACAATTTGAACTTTTCTTAACAATTATACTATGTTATTATTGTTGGAAAAGTTGCATTTTAATGTTCAAACTTATCTAAAATGTGATATGAAATGTCTGAGAAGTGTCGGCTATGCAGGCAAAATACCTAAGAAGTATCTGAGAAGTATCAGATACGTATTAGAAATTAAAAAATATATTTTTAAATTATGGACACGTTTAAGAAGTATCGGACAAATATCCGCAAGTATCCATGGAGTATCGGTATCCGACACGTATCCGATATGGGTACGTTGCTCTCCTAGAAGTATCTGTGCTTCCTAGGTTAGATGTATTAATGTGGGGCTCACATGAATACATCCAACGTCTATGATTGAGTCAATCAAGGAAGTCTGCTGTTATTTTGTCATTCAATATATCTTTTTCCCTATTAAGTACATTGGGTAACTTGGTCCCAGTGTAGAACTACAAAATGTGGCACTTTATAAAGGAAAGTCTGTGTAAACTCAATCAGATCTGGCACCAGTGCTCTATAATTATTTGGTTAGTTTCTTCGTCTAAACCTCCCTATGCAATATGATTCATTCAGCATCATTGCATCAACACTGTAACGAATAATTCGGCATAAAGGCATTCTTCTTTTGCATCACAAAAGCAGTATAGAAACAAATAAAGGTCATAGATGGAACAAATTTAGAGTGACTCATCTTCATCATGAGCCACTCTATATTTCTATTACAAAAATATGAGCTCATAGATGGAAGATTTTACTTATATTCAGTTGACTTATTTTTTGGCTTGTAGCTGAATGAAAAAAATTAGAAAAAAGAGTCATAGTAACTATTTTTACACTAGATTGATCCTATCCTGCGCATATGTTTTAGGTAGTGGTGGTTGAGTATTTATTACCAACAAGAAACAAGACATACAAGGCTCAGACAGAAACCCAAAGGCTACAACATTTCTCCTCAGATCAATAGATAAACAGAGCACCAGCCCCATAGAACACCATCAAGGGTACAATTAAGGCACAAACAAAGACAACTCAACTCAACAAAGCCTATTTCCAAACTATGTGGGATCGGTTACATGAATCATATTTTTCCATTCATCTCTATCCAAGGCCATACCCTCAGTTAAATCATATGTTATCATATATTTCCTTACAAACTCTACCCACATGATCTTTGGTCATTCATTTAGCCTAGCATTGCGCTCAATGTGAACGATATCACTCAATCTAACTGGCACACTTAGTGATCTCATCAAACAATAACCTAAAGGCACAAACAACTCAACTCAACAAAGCTTTTCTTCCAAACTATTTGGAATCAACTACATGAATCCTATTTTTCCATTTGACTCTATCCAGGGCCATACTCTCAGCCAAATCATATGCTATCATACCGTTCCTTTCTACCTCTACCAAAAACTTTATCTTTGGCCATTCCTTCGCTTTGCATTACCCTCATTATGGACTATGTCACTTAATCTAACTTATGCACTTAGTGATCTCCTTTTTTGCACATGTCTGGACCATCTTAATTGATTTTCTCTCATATTATCTCCAATTCGTGCTACTTCAACCATCTCACAAAAGAGTTAATTTCTAAATCTATCCTTTCTTGTCTTACCGCACATTCATCGCAACATTCGGCGCACGTTTCTTAGTTGCCCAACATTCTATCCTATAAAGAGCAACTAATCTAATTGTTGTTTTAAAGAACTTCTCATCTAATCTTAGCAGAATACGCCAGTCAAACAATATACCAGATGCCACTCTTCCATTTAGCCCATCCTCTGATCCAGCCTTAATTCCATGATTAAGACCATCTCCAATTACTTCATTATAAATAATTAAGCCTAATCAATGAAAATGTTCTTTATTTTGTACTTTATGACCCTCAATCTTCACTACATTCTTGTTTTATTTCTAGATTTACCAAAGTTACACCCCATATATTCAAAATTTTATTCCTACTTATCTTAAATCCATTTAATTCTAGAGTTTCCCTCCAAACCTCCAATTTAGCACTTACTCCTCTAGTTTCATCGTTTAAAACAATATTATCGGCAAACAATATACACCACAGAATCTCATCCCAAATGTGTCTCATCGGTTTATCCATAGCTAAGGCAAAAAGAAATGGGCTTAAGGCACAAACAAGACAACACCATAAAAATCATATACACCGCATATGAGGCATTACACATACTGAAATTGGGAGAATAAGGGGATACTCCAGATTTGTATGAAGCATGCATGTTTTTTTATTTCTTTATGAATATCCATAATCATTTCTTATCCTATCAATTTTAGAGGCTCCCATATTAATCTTTTCAAAATGATCCACATCCATATTGAGCAACTTGGAAATCTTTAGAAATGTGATTGAACTATAAATCTAAAAGCATTGTTTGGAGAAAAGCACCATTTTTCCTAGTTAGAGCTTTCAAAGATTACCACAACATGTGCCTTCTACACTGTAGTCGGATGCTAGTAAAAGTTTAGACAGAACTGATTTCTTGTATGTGTAAAAACCGCATACATATATTGCAAGAGCAATCTGCTAGAAGCAAGAACTTACCTCTACTGAGTGTTTCACCACAATTATTCCATGCCAGAAACACAGACTGTACTCCATATTTCCAAGCCCATCAAAATAGAATGTCTGCAGCCCAAGCTCGAAATAGTAAACCTCTTCTTACTAACTCCAGTACCACCAACATTATTCTTGATATCCCATAATCTAGCATTAGTAAAACTAAAGACAATGGATCATGAATAAGTATGAGATTGGCCGGCAAAGAAAACAACAAAAACCCCTTTAATTTGCATCGACCACCTCCATGACTTTTGAAAAAAACTATGCACTCCATCATTTCAGATTAAAATAATCACAATAAAACAAACACAGAAACCCATTAATAAGATAAAATAAAAAGAACAAACAAACTCATATTGAAAATTCATCAAAAATATACATAGATAAATATATGCACCTATATATCTTTTTCAATCAATATACACAACAATACCACTGATAATTGATTGATGGTGACTCGAGAAACCCCAAATTCGAATCGTGATCAGTACCAAACCAACAACTGAACATGTAATCATATATAGTGAACTAACTCAGATCATTATACAAACATATTGAAGCTAAGATTTGTGAGAAGAACATCAAAAGTGACAATATTAAACCACTAGTAGAATCGATGAAGATTAAGAGAGCGACCTCCTTAGTAGGGTTTGATTGTACAGGCAATAACTGTACGGGCACCGACGGAGTACATTTGATTGAACCTCTGCATTTGCTTTCCCCTTTTTATGGGGCGGCTTTGCTTAGAGGAAAGGGTTTACTCTGACACTGTATAAACTTCCCAGTATACATGTATATGTATATATGTGTACGAACGATACGCGGGAAAAAGGAGTAAAATGACGGTCAAGCTTTTGGGTTCGCTAAATATTTACAAGATTGTATCGAGATTAAGCAGAAGAAAGAAAGGGGTTTTTGTGTCTTGGATTGACAAGGAATTTCAGAATATGATGGAAAAGCAAATAGAAAGAGAGCAAATAATTTCAATTTAATATATATATATATATATATTTTCTTTTCTTTTCCCCCTCCTTGCCTTTCCTTTCCTTTCCAACTCTTATGTATATATATATATAAGTCTCGGATGGCACTCTGCAAATTTAAAATGTTAAAAAATTAAAATTCCAAAGACTTACTCTAATACTTTACAATATTCATTAAAAATTAAATAAATATATAAACAAAATCCAAATACTAAACACTTATCAAAAAGGGAAAAGATTGCCATCGTTTTTTTGATGTGCCAAACATTTATTAGAACACTTAAAAGTGAGAGAATGTATTTTATTTATTACTAAAATAAAAAATTTTGTTGGACTCTATTTATTGGCCACAGCTAAAAAATCCTATTGAACATTGTACCACTACTCTATCAATAATTATAAACTCAAAAAATCATGATAACTCCTTAATTAGTAAGAGAAACAGTTCATTATATTTTAAAATAGATAGAGATTTATTTCTTTTAGTTGTTTTACCTTGTTAAAAACTTCAATCGGTATTGGCATGGATGAGGGCATATTTAGATTCCAACTTCCAAACATAGAATAAAAAATTATGGTCAGAAGAAGCAAACCCTTTATTCCCAATGTGATTTATGGAGTCTATAGTCAATGAAGGTTCCTTCCATGAAGGTTTCAAACTTCCACGCTTTGATAAAGTCTTAGGAAAGTTAAAAAAAATAAAACTTTGATAAAGTTAAGTTAGGTAAAGTTAGAGAGAGAGAGAGAGATTGTTTTTATATGTAGTAGTGGTTCAAGGCCGTGAGATAGAAATTCAATTTTGATGAGTGTGGGGGTGAGTCTTACTATATTGAAGTCATGTGATTAGAGTTAATATTATAATTACATAAATTAAACTCGGTAACTGTATATTTCAAATCTTAAATACATATTAATAGTCCTGTGATGAGTGGTGTGGAGTCTATACTTTGGTAATTTTTTTCATTTATTATGTTATCCTAGTGCAAGAGTATATATTTATTCTGAACTATCTGTATTCGCTATTATTTTTTTTATTATTGCAGTGAAATTGCTGCAATTCTTTGGACATAGCACTGGGTGAACCGAGTAAAATCTGTGTGTTATTGTCGTATGTGCATTTGATCTATTTATTGTGTTTTCCGTTTAATTTCGCAATACCTTGTGACCTAATGGTTAGGGAGTATCTCTTATACCTCTCAAAGGAGATGGTATGGGTTTGAATCCCGAAATGGCAAAATAAAGATGTGAGTGAAGTGTGTGTTTACTTATTGTCAACGACAAAAAAAAAAAAAAAAAAAAACAACTCTTATTATTATTATTTTTTAACTCCAGACTCTAAAGTGATTGAAAATAGAAAATCATGCTTTATCATGAAATGGAAATGAAGGTGGAGTCATTGCTTTGTAAAACAAGATGTAGATTTATTTAAATGCAATCAAGGCATGTCGTGTCATCTCTTGCTTTTAATGTGAACACTTACTCTTTTTTCACACCAATTCATATTTTTATTTGGACAATGAGTACTATAATTAAAGGTTTTATAAACTTTAATCAACAACACTTTATGGACCACCCAAGGCTCCTTTACTTGATCAACTTTCCAGTGACCTTAATAGCCAAGGCAAGGTTGAATCTAGTGCCAATTGGCTTTAAGGCTCGAACAATCGAAAAAGTTCAATTCTTTATAATTCGAAAACCTTTTATTTGCTTGAAATTAATTTCATCTTTCAACTTCTTAAATAATTTTGTGATTATTCAAAGCCTTAAAACGAGCGATTGCTTCTTTTCAATTTTCTCAACTTTTGCCTCTCTTTGGTTTGATTATTCAAGGTGTTAATTAATTATAACAGCATGAAGTTCTTTTTGCTAATGTCCCTCCTTAAACCCCGTTTGTCATGCGTTTTGTTTTTGAACTGCTACAGCGTTGATTTTGATAATAAAAGCATGTTTGGTGTGACTTTGTTTTATTTTATACTGTGCTAAAACACTTCGTAAACAGTGGCCCAAAACCAAAACACCAAAAATATATTCTTTTCTTATTTTAGCAACTTGGATTGGTTGAAGCTTTATTCGGTTTGGATTAGAATCAATCAAATTCTAATCGGTCTTGTACAAATTGGATTGGTTGAAGATTTATTCGCTTTGGCTTTAGCTTCGATTTTCGTAAAATCATTAGAATCGATTTAGTTTTGATTACATTTCTAAGCCGAATCAATCCGATCAGTGCACTCTTAAGCTCAATTGTGTGTGGGTTTTTTCAATAAGTCTTTTTAAGAAAACTCAGTTAAAAAAATAGAAAAAAGTTAAATTCAGAAAACGTACTAAAACTCTTTTGTATCTTCATTAACTTGAAACCTCTGTTCAGATTGTGTTCGATAGTCTTGGGTTAGATTATGGCTTTTGCGTTGTCAAAGCATGTGAAGGCTCGAATTCTCACACCCCAAATTTTTAACACAAAGATTATTTGTCTTGTATGTAAAATTTGATGTATAAGTTCAACCAATTCTCAACATGCATCCATTATAACATATAACTATAATAAATCTCCATCGTCCAACCTATTAAACATGAATGTATACAAACATAAATCAAATCCATAAATAGAGGTGAAATTCCCTCTAACATAACCAAACATCTATGACCACTGAATTAACTCGATAAAGTTTCATAAAACATTAACTTTATTACAATAATCATAATAAAAGAAAACCGAGCTAAAATAAATCAATGCGCAACGAGCTAAAATCCGTCCCCGTCATGTGTCTCCATCACGTTCCTACTCTACGAGCACCTGAAATGTGATAATGGGGTGAGCTTACAAGCTCAGCAAAAAATGCTAAACACAATCATCGTTCAGCAAGCTAACCTTACCTTGTATTCCCATATATATAAGCAACTCAATAAATGCATTAATTAAATATGCATAACCCAGTTAATTATGAACTCTACAATAACCATTATTTTATTTTTTTAATAAATTTATATATCTCACATGATCCCCGGGCTCCCATCCAATAAAGTGGTGTGAATCGTATAATCCCTGACTACCGAAAACCCACGTGTGGCTGAATTGTACGTCTACTCCCCAGATAATCCCTAATCACGTCTACACAATAAGGGCTCATTAGACCCATGGCCATAATAAAAGGGTAGTGCACTCCCAAATAGGCAGGTCCCTAACCATACCCAAAAGTCATCATAGGGTCAGTCCCTGACTACCCCTCCAACTAATCCAAACTCATCCATTAATTATTAATTATGGTGAATTATGAAAGATATCATTAATTAATAATTAAAATTAATAATTAATACACCCAAATATCATTTTTATTTAAAAACAGAACCCTAAAGATCCAACTAGTGAGAGTACAAAATTTCTGGACATAGCCTAACATTAGATAAAATACCCTGCAAAATTTCAGAATTTATCTCTTAATAGTTTTTCCGTACTCTCCCTTTTAGTGTTGAGAAATAATATTTTTTTCAAGGTTTAATCTGGTAACTTACCCAATAACATTTAAAATCTGGATTTTAAATAAAACTAGATTCATTATACAAAAATATAATATTCTGGAAAATTTAATAATTTTTGAAATGTTTAAAATATTTTTCCTTAATTATTCGAAGTTAAAACTAATAAGAAATAAGAATTTTTTAAAAAATACTTCTAATTCAGTTGGACCCGAGTGTAGCTCCCCAGATTGGGCCTGGTGGTTGACTAAAATTAGATTCTACATGGGCCTAACTCTTCCTCATATGCCATGTAATACCCCTAATTTTAAAAAGGATAGTCTCGGCATTTTACTTTTTGTTTCATTATATTTTTGTGTGACTTTTTGCTTATTTGGTAATCGTTTCGTTGTTTTAATTAATTCTTTGATTTAATTGTTTAATTAGGTGTTTAAATTTCATTTATTTGTTTTAATGGTTTAAATACGTGTTAAATTGCATTAATTGATTTACGTTAGTGAGTATTAATTTTGGGTGTGTAAATTAGTTTAACTAATTATGTTAAGATATTTATTTATGTAATTAGATTAAATTAGTAACAATGTTTAATGTATTAAACTACTTGTTAGCAGGGGTTTAATTAAACAGTAGGGTTTTCTAAGAAGGTTTGTATAGTAAGTCGCCGTATGTTACAACTTAGATAGTTTCATAGGCCAACTAAGATTGGAATTAGGGCTTAGTCTCTAATTATACATGGATTAGGGTTATTGTTATAAACTTATAAATATAAGCAATACGGTGGTTTAGGGTTTTAAAAAAATAAGCCAAATTCTGTAAAACAGAGAGACAGTGAGATACAGAGAATTACAGAGGGAGATAAAAGAGAGGAAGGCTAGGGTTTTGGGCTTAAGCTAAGACTGAATCAAGGAGGGAAGTTTGGTGTGTGCTACTGGACTGAACTAAGAGCAGCAAAGGTCGTCGTTTAACACAACCGACGTTGCCGGAGTTGATAGAGACGACAGTCAGAGATTTTAATCCAAAGTCTCAAAGGCAAGTTTCTGTTCTATTCTTTCCCATGAATCTGTGTTCTGTGCATGCTTAGGTGGACTCCAGGGTTTAAAAGAATGCTTAAACAATCTTTTATGCACGTGTGATTGATAATTAATCTCGTTGAATGAAATTGATATACAAAATTCTTAAAGGTTCTGTTAGTTGGTTCTCTCTGTTTATGCGTTTAAGCTTTGCTTATTTGAGATCAATGATGCATATGGATGCCTTATAATTAATCTGGAATGTTAATTGAATATTAGAACAAGAATCTAAAACAATACAGAGGTTGGAAAATCACCTGAGTCGAAGAAGGCGAGGGGAAAACGGACAACGGCTGCTAAGGGAGGGAGAGCAGGCTCCCAAAGCCTTAGAGCCGACTCCCAAAGAGGTAGAGCCGGCTCTAGATGCATTGGAGCCGGCTCTAAGAGCCCTAGAGCAGGCTCTAGGTAAATTAGAG